CAACGTGCCCCTCAGATGTTACAATGTACCCCACCTACGGGGCATATTGTCACATTTCACTTCCACTTTTTGAGGGTAAATAAAGAAAAACGTATACACTGTAATCATGAAACGTATACACTGTAATTATGAAACAAACCGACATATTTGGACTAGACAAGTGTAAAATTACCGTGGATAAAAAAATGATATTCTGAACCCCATGTGGATTTACACAAACTGAGAAAGTCAAAAAGTGTTACTTTGTGCCCCGCTCTCCCATACAACTGTATTAACATTAGAACTAGGTTAAGATCAAATTAATGTCTGTATGTACGTGTTGTGAATTAGGTGGAAATTTTTATCATTTTATTAATGTGTGTATAAATAATCCCCCCAGTAATAGTGAATGAGACCTAATAATAGGCTTGTTTGAGATGCGCCTCGCCTGAAATGTAGGCGAGAGTAGGCGGCTGCAGTGAGGGGAGGAGTGAAATAAGCACAGTCAAGACGGACAGTTCTGACCTCTCGAAGTGGAACAGATACCAATGAGATCAAAGGCAGATGAACAAGACACTCAAATGTGCTTGCTATTTAATTCCATACGAAAGGTGTATTTATCATCCATTTTTACTTTAATACAAACATGTATTTTAGATTTTTATAGAAATATGACAACAATCACATATCTCACAGAGATCGCACTGTCATACAGTGTTTGGGAATATTCATGCATAATTTAAACACATAATCACATGAAATCAGATAAAAAATATAACATTTTAGCAGAGAATGCAGCATCACAGTTGTCTGAACCAATGAGCATTAAGCTGTGTCATCAGTCAGTCGTTTCCCATCATGCTTTTGATCAGTGCAGTCGCTGGAGAGCAACTGCGCTCGACTGCGCAATCCGACACAGCCACCTCGACGTCGCAAGAGTTTTTTGGCACACGTCAGCATGACATCAGAACAAGTCGGGACATAACTCGGACACTTTTCTAACCGGCATGCATCTCGCGGTGATCACCGGTGATCGGTTCTGCGCAGATTTTGCTCATCTCAAACAAGCCTAATGACTATTCCTAAACAGGTTTCCACTGAACACGTATCTGGGTTGTTGACGTGACATGGCATTTTCACTGTCCCACAAGATAAAAATTAATATAATTAATATTGTCGTTATTTAAAATGCAGTAAATCATTAAACATTTCTTTGTCCTACATGGACCTGTTGTTATAAAAGCTGCAGTGATATTAGATTTTTTACATTATTGAGCCAAATCTCTAAATTGTCCTAAAATTACATTAGTTGAAGGACCCCATTCATGATCATGTTACTGAAGCCTCCTGTCAAGCCCATGACATGACATGTTAAACTACATAATCATGGAAAATTATGCAAATGTGTCTTGCTAACCGCTAATGACAGGTTAGCTCGGAATAGCAAGGTCATTAATTGACAGAAAAAGGCTGAAACGTCCTGTGGTGTGACAGATAATGTCCTCTAAAAGCATTTTAAATAATTAAAGCTGCAGTCCGTAACTTTTTTTGGTTAAAAATGATCCGAAATCAATATTTGAGCAAGTACATAACCAGCCAGTGTTCAAAACTATCACCTTACTTTAGCCCGATTCACAACGGCTAGCTTATAATAATGTTTTCTAATTTGAGTGGTTTTCGCGGGAAATTCGAGCATGCTGCTGCATCATTACGTCACGTCTGTAAACATAAAGAAGTTGTCCCAGCTACTAGGCTATACAATGTGGTAAGGGGCGTAACATTTCTGTCACACGCTTGAGGTATTCGGCCAATCACAACGCACTGGCTAGCTGGCCAATCAGAGCACACCTCGCTTTTCAGACCGATGAGCTTTGTAAAAATCGAAAGGCGTTTCAGAAAGGCGGGGCATAGAGGAGCAACAATAATGTACAGTATGTGGAAAATAATGTGTTTTTTTAACCTTAAACCGCATAAACACATTGCATTACACCAAATACACAAAATAATGTTCTTTTTAGCAACGTCATATGACCCCTTTAATGAATATAGTTTGAATATCAATCATATTTAGCTGTGTCACACATGTAGCGGGGAGGCTAGAAAAGTTTCAGTAACATACTGATTGACTAAGAGACTGACTTTGGTTGATAAATTATTATTTTTTGTTTAAAAAACATGTTGATATCGTTTGTATCAAAATTAAACTTTCTTTCTCCTTTGACATGTTCAAAATTAAATAGAAATAATTTAATAACTACCATTTCTGTCCTTTAGTGTGACGTAATGTCCTATGGTGTGACACATAAAAGAACCACAGATTTGTTTTTATCTCAAAATATCTAAAAAAAAAAACAGTTGAGTATTGCAATAGGGGGGATATAAATATCACTCATCTTAAAATTGTATAATTTTCATCAGTTTTGAACGGATGACAGCAAAATTTGTCTTGTTGTCAAAGTTTGACCTGAAATTGTCCAACAAGTCATGGGGAAAAAATTATGTTAATTATAATTTCATATTAAATAAATAACACTATATGAAAATAAGCGTATAACAATGAAGATACATCTCTCTCATGCTATTTATTAGGGCTGCACGATTAGCGGTAAATCTTCATCACCTGCGGGCTTTCACATGGAGCAGCATTTACTACACAGAGCCGTTGTTCACTGACAAGCTGCGCAAAAAAATCGCACGATTATGAACGTGGTTTTGCACAGCTTGCCAGTGAACAACAGCTCTGTGTAGTAACTGCTGCTCAATGTGAAAGCCCGCACGTGATGGAGATTTACCGCTGATTACAGAAGTGGCTTTACTGACAAGATGCGCATTAAATATCGCATGCGATTTATCGCGCAGCCCTACTATTTATATATTATTAAGAGGTATTTTTTCTTAATTTTTGCTATGTCACACCATAGGACAAATTTATGGTACAGTTCAGTGAAAATGTAAAAAAAAAAACAATGAAAGAATTGACGAAGTTGACCCTTTATATTTTTCTCAAAGATCAGACTTCACACTACATAAATATATGCATTTCGTCTTCAAAAATTGTCTTTTACAAAATAAGCATTTTTTACTGCCTATTTGTCAACTACCCATCTGTCTTCTATTGGTCGAACAAAAAGATAATCCCACCCCAGGTTTCTCAGCAGCGGAAGTCGTCATAGTTGGGTTAACTTGAAGAGCAGTGAATGGGAGAGTACCACAAATATATTTTTTGCATTCCCATTGGCTCAAATGGCAAAATAAAAACTCCACGATAGTGTTTTCGTGACTTTCAATAAAAGGAAAAAAAATTGAGAGAGACTGATAACGGCAGTCAGAAGAGAGAACCATGTCAAATTTACCGTCCCTCCCCATAGACGCTGCATTAGAAACACCCTCGCATTAGCGTTAACTGTTTTTTTGTAATTTGATGCAAAGGTGATATAATACAAAGAATAGTGTTATAAATGTAGATACATTAAAAAAAAAATACAAATATGAAAAACTTTCAAGGATTTACGATGCTGATGACCGTTAAACGCGTCTTGTGAAAAGGGTCCATTGGTTGAGCCAGGTAAAACTAATCAAATTACTTACAGCTAATAATCTATAAGTACCTTCTCTTCTTATTTAGGAATAGAATAATTTTAACATCAAATAATGTTTTCTTGCTACTTTGGTTGCTACGTGTTGCTTACTGGTGGGTCTCCATCCGTTTAGAGAGATGTCTGAAAATTCATTCTACCTAGACAGCATATTTAATTGTGTCTAACACTGGACCGCGATTTTTGGTATCACAGCAGAGTTTGAATTCCCAAAATGCTAATAAAGGCGTACTGGCGCTTGTGCAGAAAGATATGTTCTGTGACATCAGACCGCTGCCGTGTATTTTGTGAGAAACGTGTACGTAGGCTACTGCAATAATGCAACAAGTCGACAGATACATTATTATATGTGGTCGGCTCGACGATCATCACCGTGTATGTAAAACAAAGCTGAACGCGTTTTTCAGTTCATATGCATACGTTTGCACACAACTATGGCTGATTTCACTGTGAAGCATTAGCTGCGTGACACGAAGACACGTTTTAAATGGTTGTAAGGGAAATCGAGGACCTGAGATCAAAGTTATTCGCCAGCACGACTGGCGGCCTGCGACAAGGAAACTATGTGAGTGAAACACGCTCACGACACGTACAAATCCCAAACAACTCTGTTAGTTTGAATAGTTCAGCAAGAAAACCGAGCGTGGTGTGTCTTACCGTACAGAAAGTACAACTCCTCGAAATCCTACATTCTCCAGAATCACGTCTGATGAAATGCAGACGTGAAGATTGTGTAAACGGAGCTACGAAGCTCTGACTTTGAGGACGAGAGTCTTACACCGCGAGCACATTTCTCGTGAATCTTCAGTGTATACGCGAGGAATCAGTCAAATAATTTCGATTCCAGCGAAAAGCTGTAAATTACGAGATTAGGTCTTAAATTCATACCACAGCGTTTAAGAGGAACTCTCAAATTTCATTGGCTACAGCAAACGTCTATTTCCAATCAGATGGTTTTCATTGGTTTTCTCTTTAGGACATGGCATTGCTGTCATAAATCAAACTCGTGTATATAATCCGTCTCTATTCTCATCAGAAAACTGTCAATGAGAATACATTATTAATCAATACAATCATCAATATGTTATGAGATGTACTATAAAATACATTTTTGTGGAGGGCTGGAATGAGAAAAGCGTCTTTTTAGGCTAAGATTAAGTGACACATTACAAATAAATTCACATCAAACTGCTTTATGGATACAAGTCCCAGTAAACTTAGTTGTTACAAGAGCTCAATGTTGCAGCCACGTACTGACATCTTATATTCAGGCAGTTGGGTCAGTAGAGACTGTTTGACAAAATGATAAATGGTCATAATTAACACTAAACGACCAGGTTTGCTTTGCTCAATCTCTCTCAAATCAAACCTTAAAATGGTTACCGATTAAACACAGTATAACTATGTGCTAAATTAAAGAGGATGATATATATATATAGCCAACCCTGAAACAACATACAGAACTACCACATTTTGCTATAAGTTTGATTGCATCATATAATAATTGCTGTTAATAGTGTTCATCGTCTGTTTGATTACGTCTTTAATTGATTTCTCCGTACATTTCTGCCATATGTACATTAACGGACAGTCACCACTGATAAGCTACCACTAAATATTGTAGAAACTTAATTTGCTGTAAAGTTGCTTTGCAACGATTTGTATCGTGAAAAGCGCTATACAAATAAAATAAACTTGAATAATGTACATTCTTAGTACTCTCTAAGAAATATGCAAAGATGTAAAGAAGGAGAGAGGGTATTACAAAAGGTATGAAAAATGTTCTCACCAGCTGGATTTCAACAGCAGTCTGAGGTCTGTGGTTAAGGAGCTGCAACTTCTCAGCTCTTTAAAGAGGAACAGGAAAAAGAACCAGCAGTTTGTCAACTTTTGTCACAGTCTAAAAACAGGTGCAGTAATACTAGACTCACTATCAGATGAAAAAAAACATCAACTGCAGTCTCAAACATCACATGACACAAATCTTCATAATGATATATCTCAAACTTAGAATTACAAAGTGGTTGTAATACACTGTATTTAGTGTGACACATACACTGTTTGTGACAGGCCTATAAGTTTCCCCATACCTGTGTTTTTCACAATAAAACAAGGCATTTCGGTGCAAAATAAGGAATAAAAAAAGAACGTTTTCTGTAACTCACTTAGTGAGCTTGTGAGGCAACATAGCAGTGAGGAACTCCTTCACGGTGTCTGGATTCTGATGAGCACACGGCGTCTTGGAGAGGTACTTCAGGGTCTACTGAGGCAGACACATCAACTGTTAAAGGCCATGAGTGATCAACCCTGTCTGAAGATCATGAAGAAAACAATCTCTCACAGACCAAAACATTAATATCATCTTTGTTTACGAGATGTTTCAAATCACATCAAAAACAGGCACCTCATACATGACGGTGTTGAGATTCTGCTGTCCCGTGCTGTGCTTATTTTTAACCATCTCTTTTCTTTTTTCTTTCAGGTCTGTCAGTAACTGATAGACCTGGTGGAATAGAGTGCATTTGTACAGTCACAAATAAACTTAACAACTGAAGATTTTACTTGAGATTTACAACATGCATTTCTGATAACACACACATTGAATTGTACAACATACAAACGAACTAAAATTAATCTAAAAAGGTTTCAAATGCATACTGACCTCATAATTGCTTAGCATAGCAGCATTGGCGTCCTTTCTGCAAAACAAAATGTTTACATTAGAATTATCTCATGTGTGAGCAAAGGGAAGCTCCAACCCATGGCACTATTGTTACGTTACAATATTACAAATAAGCAGCCATTCCTAATTTCCATAGAGTTCAAATGGTAAAGGAACTCTCTCGCTAATAAACAAATACGACCAACATGTATTCTGAAGATTATACATCATCTTTACACCCAAATGACCTCTCATCAATTGTTGGTGAAAATAAATTGAATTTTAAACAGATCAGCTCATAATCAATTTTATCTGAGCTTTATGGCTATAATAACTAACGTTACATGTGTACAAGAGTGACCACGTGAGCCGCATATCCTCGTCATTTCAGTGTAAACTTGGAAACCCGTTTTTTTCTAATCACAGCGCCATATACTCATCATTTTCAACAGCAAAAAAGATTATTATTTAAGTTTGACTTTAAACGAATGAAATTAAATCAAATCGCTTACACTTCCATCCCGCTTGCCTTGTTGGTTCGACAACTAACAACGATCCGGAGAGAAAACGAAGCTTGCTGTTAAACGTTCCCACCCAGTTGTCGTGTTCAAATTTGTTTGTAGGGTTAAATATTCCTGTGACTATTGCTGTTTACAAATATTTTGTATAGTCGTAATTTTAATAAAGATCTGAATATAACGTTTCGCCCGTGCAACAAAATGAATCTGCGACCTAATCAATAAATCAGGTCGAAATATTGTGGAAGTGACACTTTAAAAATTATTACATGTTATATAGAAAGATGATATTTATATAAAATATTTAATCATATATTATAATATATTTATATAAAATATATTATGTTATGTTTATATAACATTATAGTATATAAAAGTAATATTATGAAATAATATTACTTTTAATAAGTCTATAATTGTACTTTTATGGTTGCAGGAGGAATCAAAAGAATATCTGATAAGTAAAATGACTCAAATATGGATAAAGGGAGAAAGAGATTCATAAACAGATGCAAGAGCAAACATACAAATCTCAATTCATTGTGCAAACATTTCGCAAGCAATTAAGGCGAAAAATAAATAACACATAAGGTTGTAATGTATTATTGTTTGCAAGTTGGGAAAATATTCACTGCAGATTTGTAGTACTTTCAATGGTGTTAACCTCATGACAACCCTTCCCCTAAATACGCTGTTGAGATTTGATGTATTTACACAGGTATATGATATACTCAAAAAGGACATAAAAGTAAAATAAAAAGTACATGAAGTACAGCTAGATTCATTCTTTTTGGTGTAACTTCTCGGTTTAAGGACATAGCGCCATCCACCATTCAAAACTGTAACTGCAAAGTGTATTCTCTCTTTAGGGAGGCGCAGAGCCGTAGAGAGAGAGAGTTGCGACAACTCCGTTCACTCCAATGGACCAGTTTTTTACAGCAATGGCGGATCGTGGAGCCGCTCAATAGTTCCCGGAAGTTAGCGCTAATACTATCAGCGCCGTAGAGATGCAGCAGAAGAGACCGCTGTGACGAACTTTTAAAAGGTAAGACATTTATAGAACAAAATAGTATATTATCAGCACAGCTAATCAAATTACCCTGTGCATTAAAACAGATGATTATTAGATTATTCCTCACTTAATTAGTAGATTTACGGGATGTTATTCATTCTCTTCATGCAGTTTCATCCATCGTTGTGTAATTTAAAAGTGATTTTGCTGGTGGGGAGCTATTAAATAGACTTAGATATATTGCAAAGGATGCAGATGGACCAAAGTGAGAATGAAAAGTTTAATGTAGGTGAGCAGTTTTCATTTCAGAATCATGATAGGCTAAATTTCCAAAAATGTATTATATACCACTACTATATTATAGAAGTAATTACAGTAAACCTGTACATTATTACTGTATTTTATACTTAAACGTCTTAGCTACTAAAGAAGCACTGTGTTGAAGGAGCAGATGCCACAGGACTGCAATGTGATGGAGCATCACTTAACCATTTCTCCTGTGTTTTTCTCCTTCGCTATCTTGCTTTCAGAACAAGAACCACCTGAAGACTGTAAAGAGACATCACCCTCACAATGAGTCTCTTCACTGGTTTTGGCAAGTCTTTCCCTGCTCTTTGTGAAAAAGTGCCAGTTCCCTAGTATGATTACATCACATTTTGTTGGTGTAATCTGTAGATTGCTCCTGCTGACTATATCCAGCCTCTTACGAAGACTTCAGATGACCCAACACCTGTGAAGAGATGACGCCAACCCTTGAGAGGACTTCAGATGAAGCTGACTCTGAATAAACATACAAAACTGCTACATTTTCCTTGCATTGTAATCAACATGATCACATCATGTAACCATTGCTTTAATTTGTTCATTGTTTCTGTATATATTTAACTGTTTCTGAATACATGACATTACTTAACTGCATGATTTGTATAGCCTAATTTTAGAACATTTCTACCATTACTTTGGCAGTTACACCTGTTAACAGAACTCTTATTCGTAATGTAGAAACATTCATTTTCTGTAGAGCTGCTTTGAAACAATGTGTATATTAAAAAGTGCTATACAAATAAATGTGAACTGAACAAAACTTGATGCATCATTTTTTTTCTCCTCTCCAGATCAGTAGGGAAACCATACATTCACACTCCTTTCTGTGAGTGACTGGAGCACTCCCATGCAGCACAGCAAACTATAGTGGAGACTGTTCAAGGACAACATGCTTTATAGTTTATTATAAATGTATAAATCGATTGCTGTAAATAAGTGCATAACAAAAGTCAACATAAAATATATGATTAAATGTGTAAAAATGTTATAAGTTGTTTTAAATTGGAATATACTACAAATATATTTTTATATATTAATAATTGTGGGGTGCACAAGAATCAAAAACATTGAACAAGATTAGTTTTCACTTAATAAAATATCTTAATTTATTTGGAATGAATTTTCTAAGACAACAAACTTAACATTTACCATGAGATTAGTAAAACGACAATGAACAGGTATATTTGTGATTGAACTTGACTAACAAGCAAGTTGTAAGAACACACACACACACACACACATATAATTATATTTATATAGAGAGGCTGAAGTTACTTTGGCAGAAGACCACGATGTCATTTATATAGCATACACGGACTTTTATCATGGTAAGTTCAGCCTAAAATATGTTAACAAGGCAGGTAAGGATAGCTGACCACATTAATCCTCAAATATTAGAGGATTTTATCTTTTAAAAACAACACTAATATAACTACATCTATATATATATACTACGTATACATTATTTTATAAATAATGTAAATAAATAATTTTATTGTCTACTAATTACCAAAAATCACAGTTCTGTCTCTCCAACTCAATGTATTTCAATTGCCCGCTATGA